CCCTGCCCCCTCCTGCCCTGCAACATCCCCTTTCCCACCTTTTCAATCACCTGACCTTCCCCACCCACCTCACCTGCTCCCCATTTCCTCTCATCAGCCTTGCAGTACACCGGCCCATCTCCACTTGCTCCCTGCCAGATCACCAGTGTAGCTCATGCCTTTGCTTTCCAGCCACCTGAACCTGTCCCTGAATCGGTTCTTTGTCACCTGTTCCTGGATTATGACCTGTTGCTTGCTCCTGACCTGGGGTCTCATTTATAAAACAATGCATAGGATCCATACTAAAAATGTACATGTTGACAAAAGCAAAAAATGCCCAAAAAAATTTGACAATGTCTACAACCAGGCCAACACCTCATCATCTGCATCACCAATTTCCCATCACCAAAATGTTCATAAGCAAGGGTCAAAGTTTCTCCCATCAAGTCTGTTGTTATAGATCACAACTTTTGCGTGGGAAGTGGCGTATGCCTCTTTTGGGCCTTGTTTTGTGTGTACGCAATGTTTATAAATGAGACCCCTGCTCACCAGCTGTGCCCTCTTGGATCTGTTTGACTGATTGGACTGCCTTCCTGTTGCCAACCTGTTAACTCGTCCCTGACCTTTAAATTTACCTTCATCCTGACTGTGACACAAAAGTATTACAAATCAAAACATAAAGTTGATAAGTAAGTATAAACACATATAGACACATTTTTGAAAAGTCGACAGACACATTTTTGAAAAGTAGACTATCCCTTCAGTTTTTTGTTTGTTTGTTGTTTTTTAGGGGGACTTCTGTACCCCTTGACATCACTGTTGGGTGTGGTTGTGGGTACAACAGATCACCCTTTTGACTGAAACAATGCTTGAATCTTTATACCAAAGAGGGCCAAGCAAAGTGAAACATTGTTTTTCAGGCTGGTGATAAGTTGCTCTCTAACAATGGAATTAGTGTATGCTTATTGGTGGACAAATGAGATAGTTTAGACACTGTTTCTAAACAAGCTTAAACTTGAGGTTGGCATGTACACATGGGTGGATTATAAAACAATGGGACCCTTGCCTCTTTTTGTAATTATTTTGTGTCTCTTTGCAGTTCCTTGGCATCTCTTTGTGGTCTTTTTATGTCTCTTTGTCATAATTTTGAATCTCTTCCTTGGTTGATAGTTTGAGTGACAGTTCAGATGAAGGCTAGGGGGCCCCCTGACACTTTGGGGCCCTGGGCTTGTGCCTGGTTGGCCCATTTGGTAATCTATCCATGCATATACACATGTACATCAATATATACACCAACATGTTGATATTGATATATCTACAATAATTATCAGCCGATTTACTGGCTTGGACAATTTATCAGTATGTAGGGTACCTATTAAAACTTAATCTGTAATCACAATTTGATTTCTGTGTTTTTCCAGTCACTAAAATACACCAAATTTCTATTTTTATGTAATCAATTAGAACTGCATGTCACCACTATAGACTGTATAAAAATAACGGGAATGGCTACCCAACATGTTCTCATCCCAAGTCATCACATATCACTGCTTTGTTAGTGGCCTTTCACATCTACATATTATGCATTAGGTATCCTCCTTCGGGGCACCGCTTCCTATGCTGGGACGTCAACAAAAGCTCATGGTTAGGTTTAGAAAAAATAATCTAGGTTTGATTCAACATTCATATTGGAAGCAAACATCGTGTTCCTAAGTGTAAGTCTGATGTTTGCTGGACCCATTCACCACCTCTCTCATCTGCCTTGTTGGGACTTTTCTACTCATTATTATTATATTAAGTCATTAACATCAGCGTTTTGACTTGAAGCCATCTAGAGGCGTATCATACCACCACCACCGGTGCCATCCGGCCAAAGTATGAACTGACATTGCCTGTCTGCATATCATACTGCCACAATAGGTGTCATCTGGCCAACCAGCGTTGTATCCTAAAACCATGAAAGGTAACATCTAGCCGCATTACAAACTGACACCACCCAGCGGTGTATCATACTGCTGCAAAAGGCGGCTTCTGGTGTCAGGTGTTTGTGAACTGTTGTTTTTGAAGCCTCCAGTTTGGCAATTTGTCTGTCACAATCTTGGAATTTTGGAGCTAGAGGTGACCATATTTGGACGAAAGGGTGGATCCCAAGGACACTATTGACAGGTTGCTGTGAAAATCTCTCAGCTGCGCCCCAAAGCATACCCTGCCTTACGGTCTGAATTGGACAATAATTTACTAAATGAAAAACTGACTTGAAAGTAGTAATTGAGCCCTTAAATTATTAAGAAAATGTTTACTTAAGTAATAAATCAAATGAGAAGTAGTGTCATATTTGCATAGAATTCTATACAATCAGTATGTTTTTGCAACCAGTGGAGTCGCCCCCTGCTGGCCATTACAAAGAATGCAGGTTAAAGACAGGTCTGCATTGGCATCACTTTTCAGACCCGGATATAACCCCTTGGTTTATAACCTTAAGGCCTCGTCTGTGGCTTGCTGAGTTTTTTTGTAGGCTGGGTGGACCTGTTAGCACCTAGTTGCTGTTCAGGATTAGGCTGCAGCCTCTCAGACTGCAGTTGTTCAGCATGCTGTGGTTTTCCCTCCAGAGTAGAAACAGACAGACAGGAAACAATACTCTTCTGGACAAGCATTGAACACTTGTGGTATTAACAGCATCCTACTCTTGTATTATGTTTGGGTGGATGAGAGGATCAGGAGGTGGTAGTTCTAAAAGTCCTTGTTGTTCTTGGTCTAAATATCTGTCTGAAATTCCAGAGGCACTCCAGTATTTACAAAGCCAGCATGGCCGACAGCTCAGCCAGTGTGTCTTCTGTCTGACAAGATTCATAGACAGGGTATGCTGAAAGGCTCAGACTTGGACAGCAGGCCAAAACATGGCCTTTCTCAAAGTCTATTAGGCTTTAGGTGCAGCAGACATTATCTGAGATCCAGGACTGCAGACCTTAAAGTGATCGCTCTGAGGATTGATGGTTGTTTTGTGATTTTAACTTCAACTTTAACGTACAGCGTTCTGAACAAGATATTTGTTTTAAAAGTTAGATTGTGGTCAAATAGAGTTGAAAGAAAGGCCTTTTAAAGACCAAACTTTTATCTCACTGCCAAAACAGACCTCTCCAATGAATAGCAAGCAGTGATGTTGTATCTGGAATACGGAAAATATTCTGATGCAGTTCATGACTAAACTCTTAAAATATGCAGTCTTTGCTCCAGCAAGAAAACACAGAATTCAGGAGATTCAATGCTGCACTCTTAAGAACAATCACTAATGGCATTTATTTAGCAAAAATAGCAAACATTCTGTGATTCCAGCTTCTCAAATGTGACGACATGCTACTTTTCTGTGTTTAAAAGTACTTGAAGTGAATAGTTTTGGGCAGCTCTGCAGCTATGTTTCAGAAATGTCGAGATCAAGAGTTCAAATCGTCCACCAGTGCATCAACCTCCAAAAATGTTTGACTAGTAACCAAAAGAAAAAACTATAAAATTCTCTCTTTGAACATTTTCAACATTAATTTAACTGTTAATAAATTAATGTAAGCAGATGGAGAGACATTAGGTAGCGAGGAGATCATCTGCACATTGGAAAGAATGTTGGATGTTGGTGGAAGCATTGCATAACTAAGAAACTTTTTTGAAAAATGATTTTATGAAGTAAAGTAAAATGTATATATATCCCAACTTATTTTATATGTCCTGAAGTTCCAACACAGCGCAAAACAGCTGTGCATTTAGATACCATAAATAAAATGCCAGGGGTCAGCATGCCTAGTAGGTTCCCACCCTCTTCAGCTGCCCAGCTGAAATTGCACCAAACCCTGAGGCCCACCAATACATATTGTGGTCTCACAGGGCACCAGCTCCATGTTCATCTTTTTTGCCTTCTGGGCACCTCCTATTAAACGTTTTCTGGGCACATCCAATTGGTGAAAGACCCCAGGGTAGAACCAGAACACGCTGGAGGGATTATATATCTCATCTGGCCTGAGAATGCCTCAAGAGGAGCTGGAAAATTTTCCCAGGGAGAGGAACGTCTAGAGTACCTTGCTCAGCCTGCTGCCCCCGCAACCCAGCCCCGGATAAGTGGATAAAAACGGATGATGGATGAATGGAAATTAAATGTGATATTATGCCTTCCATATTCATGTTTAAAAATGACTTCAATATTACTGGTTCAGGTCATTCTTGAACATTTCAATAGGCTATAACTTTAATTTCAGTTTTACCAGAATATATTAGTATTTCTATTTTAAAACAACCACATTTACACTGAAACAGAAAAGCTTTTATAATTTAGGACCCTTACAAGAAACCTCTCCTACCAGCCTCCATTTTTAAAAAATTAATGGACAGATAAATCGATAATTAAACTAATCCTCGCAGCCCTAGTCAATACTGTCATCTAATCATTATACAATAGGATCCAGATGGTGCCAAGAACAAAACATTATTTATTTTGAATGTTGCTCTTGACAAGTAATAATGGCATCTGGCGTGATCTTGCCCCTCTGTCTAACCTTAAGCGGATTATCAACTCTTCACAACCTCACCTCTCTCTCGCCATTATAACACAACTACTCTATAACTGCTATAGGCTGCAGACGGCGAATGACAAAGTGGCCAGGACGGTTAACAGTTTGCATGTGTCATCCTCCATCTGTCACCATCTGCCTCTATCACAGAAAAAGAGACAGAAAGTGAGGGATGTTTTGTCGTGTGTATAGATTATACTAGCTGTCCAGAGGGGAAGTGGTGAGGTGTGATAGCAGCAGGAGCTTGTGAGAGCAGAGTGGTGAAAGTCTCAGACAAGATTTAAACAAACAGAGACACAGACGTTGGCCTGGCTGGCCTGGGAAACCCTGACAGAATAAGGCCAAGAAAAATCTCACACTGCCATCTCCAGATCAGGCCGAGAAGGATTTCCACAACTTCCACAACCTTTTGGGATACTTCGATCAGAATCAGTGAATTCATAAATAATTTCCAGGAGTCAGTGGCAATGAAATACTGGCACCATTTCTTTTATTTCATATTGAAATGTGGGACATTCAGCGATGCATTCAATGCAGTGTCTCTTAGAGTTAGATAATTGAGACGTCAGATTGATTTGTGTGAAAAAGGGGAGAGGAATCTCTGTTAATCTCTGCTCTGCCTCCCCAACTTGCCTCTCTCCTTAGTGATTATTCTTCTTACATACTGTAGCATATCTGTCACAGTGAGACTACAGTCTAATCACTTGCATTGTAAAATATCTGTATAATAGTTTAGATGATATAAATTTTGATATAGCATACATTAGGTTAGGTAGTATGCAGACTGGTGTAAGCTGCCTGAAAATAGAATTCTTTGCAATAAAAAAATAGTATCAAATAAATTAACACTGACATGAAAACATACCTTTAGCTTTCTATTGGTGGTTGTTGAGTAGGAGTTCATAGTTTATCCTTCTTAATATTTGCCACTACCTCACCCGAAACAGCAAAAGCATAAATTCTCAGAGGTTTGACTGCCACTCCTCCATGCTTCTGTGATTGTGTGAGTCACAGGTCGACTCTTGGGGTAGTTTTCCCTTTGGAAATATCCCCACCTTCAGGCCGTGCTCTGTCTCCGCTGGCCGACAGCTTGTCTCAGTGGCATCAGCTCCTGCTGAAAACATCATAACAAAAAAAAGAGAGAGAGAGAGAGAGAAAAATATAATTTAAATTCTGAACCCAGTACCCCAGTGAGCTCAGACCCAAACACTGTACGAACAAACTTTGCTTCTTCTCAAGGCTTTTTCTTGGAACATCATTCATTGATGGAGCCATAGAAATGCAGTGGTAATCTCTGCTGTAATGCAAATGAAGCAGTGTGTGTCTGTGTGTGCGTGTGTGTACTTGTACATGCTGCATGGTGAGGACCAAAAAACGTATTTTAGCAACAGAGAGAGGACATTTTTGGAACATGAGTACATTTTGGCCGGTCCTCACTTTTTCAAAGGCCTGTTTGAGGGTTAACACTTGGTCTAGGGTTCAAGTCAGAAGTAGGGTTTAGGTAAGGGTTAGGTTAGGATAAAAACGCAGGGTTAGGTTTTTAGTTGTGATCGTTAAGGTTAGGGTAAGGGGCTAGGGATTGCATTATGTCAGTGAAGGTCCTCACAAAGATAGAAGGACAAGAATGTGTGTGTGAGTGCGTGCGTGTGTGCGTGTGTGTGTGTGTGTGTGTCCTTGTGAGTCATGTTGCCTCGCTTCTGAGGGAGCACTGTAAACCAGATTTTATCCAAGTTTTGCTGTGACAAGCTGTGTGTGTGTGTGTGTGTGTGTGTGTGCCCATGTACAGTCTTTGAAAGGTCCTGTCTAGGTTTCAAACCTTGATGGTCGGTACATTATCAAAAAATAAGGTTTTGGCCAGTCCCTGTGTTAGTCCAAAAGACGGCCCTGGGGCAAAAATGAGCCCTGACCCCTAGGACTGCCCCATTCTGCAATTAAAAGGCAATAGATTGTGCAGCAGCAAAAAAGACCTGTTATTATTTCAAATGACCACACACACCTGTGGGGCTTTTGGGGCCCCAAAGGATCTGAGGCAGGTGGACAAGGCAGGGGCATTTTGGCTTGAATTTTGGGGGGCAGTCATGTTATCCAGTCTATAGTTCCAAACCAGTGAGGTAGCTGCCATTAGCAAGTTATCGAGCTAAGCTACTAGCAAAAAGGCAGCAAGAAAGCTTACGGGTATTTAAGACACTCATGGATGCGGTAAACAAGATGAGACCAAGTGTGTGCTTACAGTTTGGTCCAACGAAAGTATATAAATCAAACTTGGCAATCTGTATCACACCAAGGTATTCATAAACCACTAAGCAAAATATTAGGGAATAGCTACAATTGGTTGTTTAAACTGAACAGAGTGCTTGGATCTCAGTGTGCACACTGGAGAAATTAATTCCAAGGGTAAATGCAATCAGAATGAATTATATCTAGATACAATTTGGATACGAGACTCATCTTCATACAAGTTATAAAGGGGGTCTACGGTAATAGGGAATGTATTATATCCTATAAAGTGTGTGTTTGTGATGAGATGAGATGAGATGTGAATTTTAGATGTTGACATTAAAGACGTTTTTCGGTAAAAACTTTTGCAAGTGAAATACACTTTTTTAAATATCAAAGAAACAATCCTTTGGGGCCTGACTTTTTTTTTTATTTCTCTCTGGGTTATGTAGGAATACAGTCTGGATGCATTTCATATTCCCTCTGTAAATTTGTTTTTTGGTCTTTTACTTGCATGATGTAATTATTAATGTTGATGCTAAGCTAATGGGAATCCTTTGATATATATATAAAAAAAAAGAATAAATGTGTGTATATGTGTGTGAGAGCTGCTTGGTTGTAAGGCACAAAATCTGTTGTGCTAGCCATTTTAACACTGAACCTGCTCTGGGTGACTAATTCAGAAGATTCAGGCCTTTTCAAATGTCACCTGCATCGGTGCTTTGAAAGACTTTGAAAGTGAAAATAAAGGGCAGTGTTGAACAGAAAAGCTACATTACACTTACAACTAATTAAACTCTTGTCTAACTATATAAATGAAAGCTCAGGCGCAGGCACTTTTTTTGACCCATGTCTCTGGCTGCCAGCCTCAACCTGGAGCTTGGAGCGAGTCTCTCCCTGCAGTATAATGTGCAGAGCTGCTTTACTGTGCAGCGGTGCTCATGTTTATATGGACGTCACAAATATACCAAGAGTTTGCCTCACTCTGTTCTGGCACATGGCCAGGGGGGTTTATGATTAAAACCAGATTGTGCTTGCCCAACTCAGAGAGGCAAGAAAAATAGATTGCAGTTACGCATACTCTGCACAAGAGGGAAGTACAGAAACATGCACGTCAGTCTGCAGCATCTGTAAAGGTGGACTTTTTGAAGGAACTGTATGTATCTGCAGTCTAATTCTCCCCATCTGCTGAAGGGACTTTTTACAGATGTCATCTTGTTATTAAGTCTGCTTCTCGTTCACAGCCAGTAATGATACATCTGATGGTGGCAGAGAAGAAAGCTTCAGTTCCTCCTCATCAACCTCTAACAGTAAATGAAGCGAATTCTGAGTCAGAGCTATGATCATCCAGTAAATATAATGACGCCTCTCTTGTGTCACATGATTGGAGTCAAGTGGCTGTGGGGTCTTCCTTCGCCAGAAAAGACTGAGCTCCTGCCAACTCTCAGTTCCCTCGAAGTGATGACTAAGTTACACTGCAAAAAAAGAGTCTTAAGATTTTATCCTCCTTTTTGCCTTCAGATTCAGTGGTTAATGAGGGAAAAATGGTCAAAGTCAAAATCAGTACTAAGCTGCTTAGGTAAAGCTCACCTTGTTTCGAGACTTATGTTTTAAAATATGTACCAACCAATGGCTAATCTCATTTTGCAAGATCAGATATTCCTCAAATCTACTCAATAAAGTTAAGCTTTACTTCAGTGAGTGAAGTTTTCTCACCCTGCTGGCTCATTTTGTACACACATGTCACCAAACTCAAGAATAAACACCCATTTCTCATTTCAGCTGCCAAGACAGACACATTTTGCAGTGTAGTGGAGACTGGGAAATCATGTGACATCAACAAAAGCAGACGCATTACGCCCCCTCCGCCTCCGCCCACACACAGACACACAGACATCAAACACACACATAAACCCTTTTTTGTAACAGGGAGGAACGCTGCAATTCATTTACTGACTTTGAAAACCACGCTGCCAGTAAACACGGCAAACGTCATCAGCTGAGAGTGCTGATGGAAACATCAACACTGTAAAGGAAGAGAGACAGAGAGGTGAAAAAAGTCCTCTTGTATCTAAACTTACCATGAGTTGTTTCCCTGCCTGGTCCCACTCTGACCTCCACTCGCTGCAGCAGGGTCTCATGTTTCAGGCCCCCATGGCATTGGGGCAGACCACCCCCCTCCTTCACACCATGCTGGTGCTCTGGCAGCCTCTCCCAGGGTACGCAGGGGTCCTTACAGGCTTGGGAGGCGGGTAAGGGCCCTTCCCACAGCGCCCGTTTTGAGGGTACAGAGGAGGCTTCTGAGTTCTTGAATTGGACGTGCTGTTACCAATAATGACCTTGGGGTCTAGGCTCTGTGGGTGGGGCTCAGGATGAGTTTGGCTGATGTGGTTGGACTCTCTGGAGGGATACAGGTGAGGCGGGTGGCCGTTTACACCCGGCCTTTCGTGGTTCATGTCCTTACTGTGGTTGGTTGGGGTAAAAAGGCTCGTTTTGACGACTGATGCCATGTGAACAGGGGAGGGAGAGTTAGTTCTTAAAATGATGCGGTCTTCGTCGATGTGTTGCAACACCTGGACTGGGGCAGGCTTGTGAGCTGGCAGCGGGGCCACTATGAGGTCTCCTGGATGAGATGAGCCATGAAAGTTGCTGTACGACCCCTGAGTGATGCAGGGTGCCTCCTCACTGATGTCGATTCTGGCTGTGAGACGATCAATCTGCTGAACCACCTGAATGACAATGAGAGAGTTGGTGCTTGTCCAAAATGCAGTGGTGGAAAAAAAGTACATTTACATTAAGTACAGTACTTGTACTTTATTAGAGTATTTCTGTTTAATTGCACTTTATACTTCCTCTCCACTGTAATTCAGAGGGAAATATTGTACTTCTACTGCATTTAATGTCAGTTACAGTCAAATTAAGGGCCCTGACACATTATGCTGACATTTGGCTGTCGGTCAATGTTGGACCATCAGTGAGTGTCTGTCCTCTTACTTTTTGCAGTGCGTCTCACACTGCTGGCACTAGTCGGCCCTTATCAGCATTTTGTCAGCCAATTCAGTTTGTTGAATCAACATCAGAGACAGCGGACCTGTCAGTGAGTGAAATCACTCTGATTGGCAGTTCAGCTCAGTGCATGGGAACGGAAACAAGTGAGGAAAGCAAACAAATGGCTAAAGTCAAGAGGGCTTGACATCAAAACAAACTTGTTATATCAGATAAAATTAGATTTCTTTTAGCGTTTGAGCTGACCACACAAAATTGGTAAATATGGTAAATATAATTTGTTTTTTCAACATCCGGTGGTGTTGTACCAAGCAGCAACCTCCAGGGCTGAATAATGAAGTTAACACTAAAGTGACAAAAAACTGCAGTTCTTTGAATGGCCACTTGAGGCTGGCTCCAGAGCAGGTCAATCCCCATAGGGGCCCATGTTAAAATGTCCAACTTTAAAGCAGCCTGTTATAAAAAACTGTTTTGGTCCCCTACAATCTCCATGGCTAATTGCCACTTCATGGCAACTGGGGGTGAATACTCTCCTATTTATATTCTATTAAGGCTTAAAGGTACGCATAATTAAGGACGGGCTGCTCTGAGTGACAGGCTGTCTGCCAATAGTGTTTTTCTCAGTCAGATCCACCCCTCGCTCTTCTACCGCTCCAGCCTCTCGCCCAAATATGGTCACTTCTGGCTCCAAAAACCAAGATGGCCACAGCTGAAATGCCGAGCTCAAGGAGTTCACAAACCAATGGATGATGCCATGGTAGCTACGTCCATTATTTTTTCAGTCTATGGTGCTTACTGCCTAACTAGTATCTTGATTCCGTCCTGTCAGTCTTTTAGTTTCCCTTTTTTGAATCACAAATGCAAACTACCGCCACCTGCTAGTATGGAGCGTTATTCCCTCTCGCACAGGCACAAAGCGTACATGGTAGTTGGCTGTTGGCTGTAGTCTTTGCAGTGCATTCAAGTGCAACTTTGTGGCTGAGACACACTCAGTGTGAGATGACGCAACAGTCGACCTTTATCACCACTAGTTCTTTCATGACAGTTTGTTGTGCGTGGGCCTTAAAGTTTCACACAAAAACATTTGACATATTTATAAAAAATGGTGCTTTCTTAAAATTTAAGCAGGTGTTTCCGCTTGTGACCCTTCAAAAGTATCTATTTGTGGTCCCTTGAGTTGTTTGCAGTCCCATCAAAGAGTCGTTTCCCATCTGGACTTCTCAGATGGTATAATTTATGTAAAAGAAGAGGTCAAACTTTCCAATATTTCACAAACTAAAGGATATTTTTAAGATGTGAATATGAATATCTGTGTAGGAGAATTCTTTTTTTCTTCCCTTTCCTTTCCTGTCCTGTTCATTATCTCACAACCCCTCAGATTCATTGTGTGATCATTTGGAATGGCCCTGGCCATGAACCCCTAGACAAAACTATCAAAACCAAAAAATTCTGCTCATGCATTGGTGCATTAGTATTAACAATGGAATATTGTCGCAAATGATTTTATATCAGTAACAGAGTCCATTTCCATGGATGAGTACTTTCATTTTTGACAATTTTAGTACATTTAGCTGATAATACTTCTGTAGTAATTTAAAATACAGGACTTTTATTTGTAATGGAGTATTTTTACATTGTGGTATTAGTACAGTATTTAAGGATCCGAGTACTTCTTCCACCACTGCCAAAGAGTATTTATAAACACAAGTTTGTCTTTGACTATGCTAAAACTGAAACAATGACAATTCAGCCTGTCATTCAAATCAAAGCTGGTTTATTTTGACGTTATTTTGTTTCCAGCCATCTCAGTTTACAATCCCAGAGGTTTTTCTATTTGTAATGTTGCTTCAGGACAATGTCAGGCCTTGCACGGATGCATTCAGCTGTGAATCAATGCTATTTTACAGCTGCATGCAAAATGGATACTGTAAGAGCAAGGCATAATTTAGTAACAGTCTCAAGCCAGGCTTTTTAATGTGCTACCCGGAACACTGCCAATTTCTGCAGCGTTCTGCAAAAGGTCAGTGCAAATCGTTCTCAATCACCGCTTCGGTAAGAGATGATGAGTGAGTCACAAACAATGCAGTCAGCATGCACAAACACACACACACACACACACACACAGATATGCTGTCATGAACACAGACACACAGACACACAGACACACAGATACACGACGTGTGTCAAACTCATCCCCACTTATGTCTGCATCTGAGCTTTGTGTTTAATGTCACAACATCCAGGGGAGCATCGACAAAAGGCTGGAACATCTGCACCTCACCCAGACGCTTGATGTAAAGAATAAACATCTATAATAACAGACCCCCCTACCTCTTTCATCTCCACGTGAACTTGCTTCAAACCCCCCAACACATCCTCCAGATCTGTCACCACTTGTCTGATCTGATCCCTCACCGAACCCTGCCTCCTCTTCTGCTTCACCACCTCCGAACCCTGGCGCTGGTGGTCGCTGTTGGTTGTTGGTTTTGAGGGCTCCGGACTGGTGATGCCGGAGGGTGGGACGCACGGCCCCTTCTGTCTGCTTTGGTTGAAGTGTTTTTGTGGGACTTCAGTGGGGAAGAAGCCTTTGTGAGAACCTACGCGTCCGTTACAGCCCTCCTCTGATCCACCCTTTGGTCTTCCCCGGTCCTGATGGCTATCTCTATCCTCCCCTCCCTCAAAGAACACAAGCCTTGGTCCACAATGGCCATTTGGCATGTGTAAATGACCCAGATGGGGGTCGTGTGGCTCCGAATGATAGTTCTCAGGGGTGCATCCATAACTTTCCTCCTCCTCATCCACAGAGACATACCTGATAGTCCTCCTGTGCCTGTACCCTTGACCTTTGACCTGAAGATGGGGGAGAGGATGTGGTATCCCAGTGTTAAAGGGGGGTGCCCTGGTGTCGCTGCGCACCACACAGCCACACTGTTCTCTGACAGACGGGTAGTGTCTCACCCCAGGCTCCGGCGGGTAGGTCCACTGGGCAGGGTTCAACTCCCAGGGGCAAACTTGGCTCAAGTCGTCTGACTGACTGTAAGGGCCTGGCCCTGCGAACACAGGCCTCCTCTGTGGGCTGCGATGACCGCTTCTCTCAGCTCTGTTCACTGCGAAAGCTCTCCCTCCTACGTCTTTAACCCGAGGAGCCTGGATGTCTCTCCTACAGTCCAGAGATGGGTGGTCTGTCTGTCTGGCTGATGCTGATTGGTATCCCAGCCCACCGCGGTGGCCGGACGCCTCATAGTGGACGCAGTGCTGGCAGGAGCAGGGGGCGTTGGTGTTGATGTGCTGAAGAAATCGGTGGTGTCCCGTTGTTTGTGCTCCGTCTGTGTACATGTCCAAAGAAGTCCAGAGGCTTGTGTGGAAAACGCCTTAGAAAACAATCGGTTTCCTCCCCTCTCTGCTCTCTCTAGCCCAGTCATTCACTCGCTCTGTTTTCCTCATCTGCGTCTTCCCAGAAGAAAACTTTTCTTCAGCTCTTTTTTTTCCTGCTCTCTACCCAAGACTTCTCCCTCCCCTTCCTTCCTGTCTGTTGTTTCCCTTCTTCTTCTCTCCTGTACTGGAGTTGTTAATCTCTGCACCCGTTCTTTTCTTTCCCCGGACCCTCTGTCTCCTACTTCTCCCAACTTTTTCTCCACTCCTTCTTCCTCACCCTGTAGCCCTCTCTCCTAGACGGGGCCCCTCTCCACCTCCCTCCCTCTCAGTCTCTCTTTCTACCTCTCCCGCCTCGTTGTTCTGTCTCATTTGCTGCTGCAGGCTTCCAGTCTCTCTCTCTCTCTCTCTCTCTCTCTCTCTCTCTCTCTCTCTGTGACTGTGTATTTCCCGTTTCCTCCCCTCCCCTCTCCCGCTCTCCTCTCTTTCTCCACCTCTTACTCCGTCTCCTGCCTCTGGTATATTCTCTCACATACTCGGCTGTACCTGAATTTATGAATTTCTTCTCTCCTCTCTACCTAAAATCCAGCCGCCTTGTGAGGCTCCTCCGGAAAAGGACTCCATATGGGTTTCTGTCTCTCAGAGAGTGCGTGAAAGAGTCCCAGCTCCTGCACTGAGCTCATTAGCCCAAACTAAAGCTTTTGCACTCTGCAATTAAACGCTGCCTGGGATTCCTCGGCCGGAGACTGAAGGAGGAGGTGAGGGAGGGGAGGGGATGGGAAGGGGAGGGGAAGGGAAGGGAGGAGAGAAGCACTGGGGGAGGTGGGGTTTCTAACATACACAGACGACGGAGTAGACAGCATTCTGAGTCAAGGAGACAGAGCCACTGCCTTTGTACAAGGGAACATTTTTTTCACTATGCTGTATCTCCTTTTTTCTCCCCCACCAATTCCTTCCTCTCTTTGTCCTTTGCCACTCCTGTCATTCCCACTCTATCATTGTCTCACTTAAAGTGGTTTCACCTCAACAGTTGAGCAAAACTTCACTCTGCTGAGGCAAGCACAGGCATTATAGTTGCACTGCATAGAAAAGTACACACGCTTCCTCCTCTCAAGTCTATACAATGGTGTCTGCATGCGACGTAAACAGCACACTGTCAGAGAAGTCAAACACATGTTCACGACATGTTAAATTCATCATCCTTTTCATTATAAATCAATCACTGCTCACTACAGACAACCATAATCTCAGGATAAATGGAACAAAAAAGTCATTCAAACAAAATTTGAAAAGCAGGATGAGCAATCAAGATCTCTTTCTCCCTCAAAAATAGCATAACGTGCCTGTGTTGTGGCTCTTAATCCACAGCTGAGGACAGCTAGGCGTTTATTTTCAAAGAAAATAACTAGAGCTTTGAAACAATGGGTTGTAAAAAAAAAAAAAAAAAGAAAAGAAAAAAACCACTGAGAATAACAGCAGAGGAGGATGAAGGGGATTCATCTGTCCCAGCAAGAGGATGAGCACTCCGGTCCCAGCTGCTGGGAAAGATTGTTATTGTAGATGTAACACAGCTGGAGTGACTTTACCTAGACACACACACACACACACACACACACATATATATATATATACAGTACAGGCCAAAAGTTTGGACACACCTTCTCATTCAATGCGTTTTCTTTATTTTCATGACTATTTACATTGTAGATTCTCACTGAAGGCATCAAAACTATGAATGAACACATGTGGAGTTATGTACTTAACAAAAAAAGGTGAAATAACTGAAAACATGTTTTATATTCTAGTTTCTTCAAAATAGCCACCCTTTGCTCTGATTACTGCTTTGCACACTCTTGGCATTCTCTCCATGAGCTTCAAGAGGTAGTCACCTGAAATGGTTTTCCAACAGTCTTGAAGGAGTTCCCAGAGGTGTTTAGCACTTGTTGGCCCCTTTGCCTTCACTCTGCGGTCCAGCTCACCCCAAACCATCTCGATTGGGTTCAGGTCCGGTGACTGTGGAGGCCAGGTCATCTGCCGCAGCACTCCATCACTCTACTTCTTGGTCAAATAGCCCTTACACAGCCTGGAGGTGTGTTTGGGGTCATTGTCCTGTTGAAAAATAAATGATCGTCCAACTAAACGCAAACCGGATGGGATGGCATGTCGCTGCAGGATGCTGTGGTAGCCATGCTGGTTCAGTGTGCCTTCAATTTTGAATAAATCCCCAACAGTGTCACCAGCAAAACACCCCCAAACCATCACACCTCCTCCTCCATGCTTCACAGTGGGAACCAGGCATGTGGAATCCATCCGTTCACCTTTTCTGCGTCTCACAAAGACACGGCAGTTGGAACCAAAGATCTCAAATTTGGACTCATCAGACCAAAGCACAGATTTCCACTGGTCTAATGTCCATTCCTTGTGTTTCTTGGCCCAAACAAATCTCTTCTGCTTGTTGCCTCTCCTTAGCAGTGGTTTCCTAGCAGCTATTTGACCATGAAGGCCTGATTGGCGCAGTCTCCTCTTAACAGTTGTTCTAGAGATGGGTCTGCTGCTAGAACTCTGTGTGGCATTCATCTGGTCTCTGATCTGAGCTGCTGTTAACTTGCGATTTCTGAGGCTGGTGACTCGGATGAACTTATCCTCAGAAGCAGAGGTGACTCTTGGTCTTCCTTTCCTGGGTCGGTCCTCATGTGTGCCAGTTTCGTTGTAGCGCTTGATGGTTTTTGCGACTCCACTTGGGGACACATTTAAAGTTTTTGCAATTTTCCGGACTGACTGACCTTCATTTCTTAAAGTAATGATGGCCACTCGTTTTTCTTTAGTTAGCTGATTGGTTCTTGCCATAATATGAATTTTAACAGTTGTCCAATAGGGTTGTCGGCTGTGTATTAACCTGACTTCTGCACAACACAACTGATGGTCCCAACCCCATTGATAAAGCAAGAAATTCCACTAATTAACCCTGATAAGGCACACCTGTGAAGTGGAAACCATTTCAGGTGACTACCTCTTGAAGCTCATTGAGAGAATGCCAAGAGTGTGCAAAGCAGTAATCAGAGCAAAGGGTGGCTATTTTGAAGAAACTAGAATATAAAACATGTTTTCAGTTATTTCACCTTTTTTTGTTAAGTACATAACTCCACATGTGTTCATTCATAGTTTTGATGCCTTCAGTGAGAATCTACAATGTAAATAGTCATGAAAATAAAGAAAACGCATTGAATGAGAAGGTGTGTCCAAACTTTTGGCCTGTACTGTATATATATATATATACATACTGTATGTAGTCTCAAAGGGGATATGCACATCTGTATACAATTCACATTTACAGTGAATATAAGCAAGTTTGAAGAGTTAGAATTGACCCTTCACTGAATCCCTCCACTCAAATGCAGACTGGCCAATCGTAGCTTAGATTTGGCCAGCTCCATTAATGGTCTGACAGTTTTACAGCTGTATAGACTCTACTACAATTGTGTAAGATTTTTTACATTTTCAGGCTGGTTTTGTGGATTTTAAGCTAAATGTTGTGCCTGTGGTATGTGTGCAGAGATTGGGTGGATATGTATGTTTCTTCCCTGTTCCAAAACCAAAAACAAACTCTGAAAAGTGTAGGGTTAGCCAGCTCCCTAGTTAGCTAGCTGAAGGTATAGTCCTCTAATCTTGAATCTTGAATCTTAAATGTATACACATACGCTGTTTGCTTTTTAATGATTATAACACTGAATAAAGACCTACCCTGCTTTACAGACACCAGTGAAGGGACCCAGGGAAACTTTGGCAATATTCAACCAGCTATGTGTCATCGCAGTGTGTGCAGATGAACAGTGTTTGGGTCCCCTGGAGCTCCCTGTCCATCCACTGGCGGAGGTCCAGGCAGTGGCAGCGAGGGGTAAACTAAACACTATTCGTCTGCACACACTGCGATAACACACAGCTGGTCAAATATCAGTGAAGGTTATTTTAATTTCATAGTCTTCTGTCTCAATCATCAGGTGGTGTCGTGCTTCACTTTTACACTGTCATCTGTACGTTAGGTTCTAGATTCTAACAGTCTTTATCTTTTCAACCTGTTTTTGCTGCTGAGTGAGTTTGGCATGCTGGATATATCCTTCAAACACGTATTTTAGACCCTTTTGTCTTCCTCTCTATTACATCGCTTTTTCGTTTCTCCAAAAATCTGATGACGTTTCTTCAGGGAGTGCAGCTAGTGACAGTGTGGGCTCCGTGGTAGCTCCGACAGCTTGACATACCATCACAAATGAGCAGAGCTTAGCCAAGGTTCAGTTGCTCTTGTTACTGTGATTGAGTAGCTGTTTAATGAACACTAGCAGTGGGCAGTATGGATAAAATCCTCTGTAGTGACACTGATATAGTATTAACAGTATCTTTTAATGGAAAATCTTATAGGAAAATGTTGATGGGTGAAAGCTGCAATAACTGTAAAGGGCTGGCTTTTTTTGGCCACTTGAGGGCAGCAGAAACAAACTGTGAATACAAAACTGACATAAACTTTTAAAGCCAATAGGGCTAACTTGTTAGCATACAGTTGTCATTTACACATCTAGCACACACAGTGCAACATATAATTTATTTTAGTGTTTCTGTCCAGTATTCACTTTAAGCTCGGTCTCACTCCCAGGTTGTCTAATACTGATGCTTTGTCATGCCCCTCAACGTCTGATACTGATGCACATGGCCCCCTTTAATGGCTGTATAAGATGCACCAGGCCTTCAACCCATCCACAGCAATATAAGACACTCAGAGCAACTGATATAAAGACCAAAAAAATCTGTATTCGTAAGTGGTTGGGGCATATGGGTGAGTCAAACAAACACAGGACTTTCACCCAGGAGACCACTGTTTGGGTCCCCTTTGAATCCAAAAATCAACATTGACTTAATTAAACATAATGTTGCAGAGGTTACATACATGTGTCACATACTGACATCACATCACATATTTACATCTAACCATAACAACCAAAATACATGGGACACAGTCGCAGCATGACACGTCTACTGCAGCACGCCTACAGCAGAGCGCCTCCATTCTAATCAAACAAAGCTGCGACACTGCTTACCCACACTGCTCAAGGTTTACTTTATGCAGTTGGTCTAATTATTTTTCTCTTCACGCAGATCCACGGCCCTCCAACAGGAAAAAAAACTACAGAACTGTGAACAAAATGATACAATCTGTTTAAAAATAAAAAATGAACACTTCATTGTAACAGAGGCAATGCCAAGTTTTAGAGCAACCTTGTGTGTGTTTTTGCATTTCATATTAAAATCAATCAATCAAATAGAAGCATCCTGTTGTGATCCAGTTGATTAATTAAGTACCAGTTAATATGCGTACGGTTCCAAACCCTGCATTAACCCAGCATTGCACCGCCTACATGACATGTCGTGTCACTGCCCCATGTAAATAGATGGTAAAAGGACCTGCACTTGTATAGCACCTCTCAAGTCCTCCAACCACTCAAATTGCTTTTTACACTATGAGTCACATTCACCCATTCACACACACACTCATACACTTGTGGCCAAGGCTACCATACAAGGTGCCACCTGCTACTCAGTTTTAAGTACACTCACACTGATAGAACAGCCATCGGTACAATTTGGGATTCAGTATCTTGCTCAAGGATACTTCAACATGAAAGGGATCGAACAGCTGATC